AGGGAGGGCTTGTGAAGGAGAAACACAGAAGCAGCCACAGAGTTTGGTGTGCAGGGTATAGAGCATAGATCAACAGTGCAAATATAAGCACAGCTAAGCCTGCCACACTGCACCCTCTTCTCTGCAACTTAGAGAGGGTCTGATCTTAAGGCATAGGAGAAGACATCTGGTTAGTCATGTCCAAAGCACATTTGCAGTGGGGAAGTGGGCTTAGCGGTCCATCTGGATTGCCAAGCCTCCATACTCACACGCAGGCAACTGAATAGACCATGGAGGACCAGCCTAGAGACCATCCGGAGCTGGTTGTAGACTGGGGCGGATGATAAGAAGAAACATCTTGCAGACACAGTAACATTCTGAGGAGCAGATGAATCAGGTCCAGAAGTCTCTTCAAACCTCCCTTATAGGTTAAAGCTTCCCCGCTTGTGAATACAGGATGACGAGATCACTGGTTGGATGAAGGCTGCAATATAAATAGGCCTGTGAGGATCCTTTAGTTTTGTGTTTTGTAATTGCATGAGTTTGCTTTTTCTTTCTCTTATTTCTTCTCTTTCTTTCTTATTCATTTATCTATTCATTTATCTTTCTTCTTTTCCTTTTTCAAACCCTTTCATCTATCATATATTTAGGAGAATTATAAGGAACTACTTCAAAAACCTGTGCTCTGATAAATTGGATAATCTAGAAGATAGGGACAGATTCTAGACACATATAAATTACCAAAACTGAACAAATAAATATGAAAATACTGAACTGTCCATTGACAGACAATAAAATTGAGGCAGTAATAAAAAAAAAATCTACCAACTAAGAAAAGACCAGGACCCAAGGGACTCATCACTGAATTCTACAAGAACTTCAGGCAAGATCTAAGCCATTACTCAAACTCTTCAGCGAACTTTAAAGAGAAGACACACTTCCAAACTCGTACCTGGAAGTTAGCATTATCTTGATACCAAAATCAGAGTAGACATGAATAAAAAATGAGAACAGCAAGCCACTCTCTTTCATGAACATAGCTGCAAATTCTTCAACATTCTTGCAAACAGAATACAACAAGTCATTGAAAAGAGCATACTTCTTGACCAAGTTGGCTTCATGCCAGAAATGCAAGGATGGTTCACAAACATGAATCAATAATTGTAATACATCTCATAAACAGAATCAAGGACAAAATCACATGATCATCTCAATAGATGCAGGAAAAGCCTTTGACAAAATCCAGCATCCATTCATGATAAAAGGAAAGCTCTGAGGAAACTATGTATAGAAAGACCTTATCTCCAGCTGATAAAAAACTGTTTATGACAAACCCACTGCCAATATCATATTACATGGGGAAAAAAGTTTTTCCTCTAAAATCAGGGTATCCATTCTCATCACTTCTTCTCAATATAGTATTCAAAACTTTAGACAGAGCAATCAGGCATGAGAACAAAAGAAAAGGAAAGGAAGAAGTTAAACTATCCCTATTTGCCAATGACATGATACTTTATACAGGAGACCTCCCAAAATTCCAAAAGACCCATAGAACCAATGAATAAATTTAGCTAAATAACAGTATATAAAATTACAAATAGAAATTATAGCATTCCTATACACCAACAATGAACCAGGAGAGAGAAATAGAGAAAGCAATAGCATTAACAATAGTTTCAAAAAACCCCAGATACTTAGGAATAAACCTGAGCAAGGAAGTGAAAGACCTCTACAATGAAAAATATAGTACACAGATAAAGAAGATTGAACAGGACATCAGAAAATGGAAAGACATTCCTTGTTCCTGGATAGGCAGAACCAATATTGTCAGAATAGGCAGACTACCAAAACTGATATGTAGATTTCATGCACTCCCAATCAAAATGCTAACCACATTCTTTACAGAACTAGAAAAACAGTACTCAAATTTATATGAAACCAAAAGAGACACAGAATACTAAAAGCAATCCTGGGCAACAAGAGGAAAGCAGGAGACATCACAATCCCTGACTTCAACTTATATTATAAAGCTATGATGATAAAAACGGCATGGTACTGGTACAAAAACATATACATGGATAAGTGGAACATAAAGGAGGATACAGAAAGAACCTTGAGCACATTCAGCCATCTGATCTTTAACAAAATCAAAAGTGTGTGCTGGAGAAAAGTTGACCTCTTTAATAATGGTGTTGGGAAAACTAGTTTTCCACATACAGAAGATTGAATCTAGACCCTAACTCTCCCCATGTACTAAAATAAAATAAAAATGGATCAAAGACCTAGAGATCAAAAGAGAAACACTTAATCTGCTGAAAGATAAAATAGCTAAAGCTTTTAAAGTCATAGACACAGGCAAGGACTTTCTGAACAGAACCCCAATTGTACAAGAAATCACAAAGAATCAACAAATGGGATCATATCAAATTAAAAAGGTTCTGTACAGCAAAGGAAACAACCAACAAAGTGAAGATATAACCTACAGAGTGGGAAATAATTTCTAGCTATTCCACAGAGGACTAATATCCAGAATATATAAAGAACTCAAAATATTAGACTTTTCAAAATAAAAGACTCAATCAAATGAAGGGCAATTGAAATGAAGACTATTTTTTTAAAAATAAGTACAAATGCCCAGTAAATACATGAAAAAAATGCTCAGTATCTTTGCCTATTAAGGAAATTCAATTCAAAACAACACTGAAATTCTATCTTAATCCAGAAAGAATGGCTATCATCAAGAAGTCAACAAAACTACCAACTCTGGCAAGGCTGCAGAGGAAAAGAACACTTCTACATTGTTGTTGAGATTATAAATTAGTACAACCACTATGGAAATCAGTATGGAGAGTCCCCAAAACACTAAAAATAGAAATTCCATTTCACTCAACTATTTCCCTCCTGAGTATCTTCCTGAAAAGGTTAAAGATGCCATATTACTGTAAATATGCATACTCCACACAATTAACAATAGAATCTTGGAAATGGTCTTTTTGCCCATCAACAGATGAATGAATAAAGAAAATATGGTAAATATACACACAATGGGGTATATATACCATATGCCATTGTGTCATACCATCGTGTCAATAAAGAAAGATAATATGGGGTCATTTGTAGGAAAATGAATGCATCTTGAGACTATAATGCTATGTGAAATATAGTAGTCACAAAAGGTTAAATATTGCATGGTTTCCCTTATATGAGAAACACAAAAATATAAATAATTTAAAGAGCAAAATAAAAAGATAGATACTAGAACAGAGATGTGCATGGGATCCAGAGATGGTGGGAGAGGGAAAAGCGGAGAAGGGATGGAGAAGAATAGAGGATTAAGGTGCTATATGTACATGCACCAACTACCTGTGATAAATGTATCATTATGTAGTGCAAACATGTACAAATAAAAAAATACACTAGTAAAAATGATGTCACCTGCAGACACGAATAGTTTGACCTCTTCCTTTCCATGTTGGATGCCTTTATTTATACATACGTGCAAAGGGGAGGCAGTTCTGCGTATTGTAGTAACAAGTGCTCCAAAAGCTGAGGTGTTGAACAAAAAAGGTAATGATCCCCCCGGGGATGAGACCTCTGAACTGTCTTTTAAAATTAAAATCAGCTGCTGCAGGATTGGAATCCGGACTGAAGAGAATAGGGGTCCACAGAGATCTTTGGAGACTGTGTTAGTTTGCTGTGACTTTGTACTGGGGACGCAGACAGAGATCTCTATAGGGACAGAGGACAAACTCCTAGGGCCTTAACCTGCTATTCATGAAAAAGCATGGTTCTTGTTTTCTTTTGATGCAGTCAAGGATTTATTTATTTGTTTGTTTGTTTGTTTGGTTGGTTTTTGGTTTTTCTCCGGTACCGGGAACCGAACTCACGACCTTGCACTTGCCAGGCAGGCGCTTTTGCCGCTGCACTAAATCCCCAGCCCCCACAGTCAAGGATTTAAAAGCTGTTTTTGGTAAAACGAAACTCTGGCTTCTCACTTGGACCCACAGACACCCCATAAGTAATTAAAAGTGGAAAAAGACTTGACTTTCATTTTGCATTTGTTTCCTCTATTTTTGTAAAACTTTGGATCAGATTTTTGGTCAGCTTTTCATATAATCATATTCAGCATTTAGGGAATGCCTAAGAGGTGGCAACTCAGGGTGGATTACCTCTAAATTCATGTAACCTACCTCATCCCCTTTCAAGGCTCAGGACACCAAGATAAGAGATTTATTGGGACATTCAACTATCAACAAGCCCACAAATCTCTAGTCATTGCCCAAAACTTCCAATCACCTTGAATTTCAACAAAGCCTCCACAAAACTGAGACCACCCTAAGCAGAAACAGGGACCAGATAAAGCACTAAGAACTTCACTAGAGCCATCTTCCAAATCCAGAACAGAAATAATGATCAATCATACCCTGTCCCACCCAGTTCCCTATAAGCTGGTCCTACTCATTCTTTTTATCAGTGTTATGCTCTTTAAGCTGAAGTCCTTTCCCTATTTTCTCTTATTTTCTATCTCTGCCTAATAAATCAGCCTATGCCTCTCACAGATGCATCCTGAAATGCTTTTCTGTATTCAAAGCCTATCCAAAGTGAGTTGAGGTCACCATCTCCTCTTCAAGGGAGCTACTCAGATACTGTCCAGTGACAGTGAGAATAAGGTCCATCAACTGAGTAACTTAAGGAATAGAAGTTCATTGTCTCAAGGTCTGGACTCAGATCAAAGGTGCTTGCATGCTTAGTGCTTTCTGAGAGCTGAGATGGAGACCTTGGTCCATGCCTTTCTCCTACTTTCTAGTGATTTCTGCCACTATTGGTCACCTTGTCTTGTGGAAGCCTTACCCTGATTGCTGCCTTCACCTTTACATGGTATGTTCTCCCTCTGTGTCTCTGAATCTACATTTCCCCTTTTTGTTTATTTTTTGAGAAAGGATCTCACTGTGTAGTCCAAACTGAACTGGAACTCCCTGTCCATCCCAGGCTGATCTCAAAATTGTGATCCTCTTGCCTCAGTCTCCAATGTACTGGAATTATAGGCATGTACCACCATGTCTGGCTAAATTTTCCCTTTTTTAAAAAGACACTGGTCATTCAGGGTTAGGACCATCCTAACGATCTCCTCTGAACTCAATTACACCTGCAATTGTCCTATTTCCAAGTAAAGCCATGTGACAAGTTACCAGGGCTAAAACACAGTTCAGCCACTAACATAGGCCTGTCATGTCAATAATTCCTATTCCTAAAAGGTGTGAGACATGAACCCACTTGTCCAGACCCCTCAAAAAATTGGGCTCCAGAGGCAGGAAGAACAGCAAAAGTGAGGTTTTAACTCAGTCAGTCTCTCAAGCCCGGGTGTCTGATTTGACAGGCACGCACAACTTGAGAAGCTGTGTGCTTTTTTTGCTATCAACTCACAAGAATCCTTCTTCTCATCAGCCATGGCCTGGGATCTGGGGTTCACAGTCTTTCCTGGCTGACGCTTGTTACTTCCTTCTCCCTGCTCCCTGTGTGCCCCTTCCTCCCTCTGTGCATTTCTTTGAGGTTATTCATGACTTTTTGGCTTCTCGGGATCTTCATTCATGAAAACTTATTTGTCTAGTAATTATGTTTTAGCTCAGTACTTTATTGCTGGTCTGAGCCATTTTATAGCTTGCCTGTCTATGTTTGTTTTTTGACCCAGTTAATTCTGTGAAGAAGGGCTTGTTAGAGTGCTTAATGAAATATGGACACATGAAAATATTTTTGTTTCTTACAAAAGAAAAATTGCTTGAATAGCTCTTAGGATAGACTGGGTGATGTTGAAATAATGACCAATCTGAACCGGTAGTCACTGAATACAACAAACATTCATTTCTCACTCGTGCTAGGTCCAGTGAGGGTAGGACTTTCCAAGACAGCTCTGATCCATGCCACAACTCAGCACACAGACTGCTTCCAAATCTACCACGAGGGGGCTGGGGATTTAGCTCAGCAGCAAAGCGCTTGCCTGGCAAGCGCAAGGTCATCAGTTCGATTCCTGGTACCGGAAGAAAAACAGACAAACAAACAAATCTACCACGAGGGCTGAGAAAGGCTGAGAGCTGCCCATGGCTCGCATTGGAAGCAGGCTCAGGACTGTACACCTGCGAGGGGCTAGAGAGTGCTGCAAAGATGAAAAGTTCACAAGCACCAACGCCTCAGCTGCAGGAATGCTTTAGGACTGGTGTTGAGGTGTTTCTGTCATCCCAGGGAAGCTAAATTCTTACCACAGTTTGGAGGGCAAGAAAGAAAGGGCAAGAAAGGTGTTCACTTTAGGAATTAAAGCTGGGGTCACTGTAAAGTCTGCAGCATAAAGAAGCAAGAGCTTAGGGGAGCGTTACCTGGCCAGTCTGCAAACACAGATGAACTAGTGCAGAAGTGAAAGCAGCAGTTTGGTGGGAAAGTCAGTGACAACCCCTGAATTTCCCACAATTGAAAACTCACTAGGGATGACAGAGAAAGAGAATGAAGGGGAAGAAATGATTGATTCACTGGCTCTAGGTAGAGAAAAAAGGAATCTGTCCATTCAACACTTCCTGCTGGACCGCAGGGACCCCCAGGGCAAGGGTAGGTAAGTCTGTGTCACCTCCCAATGGATGGATTGCATGCATATCACTAAATGCTTTTTTTGATTCTCAAATGCCATATCTAACAGAAGAAAGGAGCGATCCTTGCCCAGTAACCGTCCCATTTACTGTGCAGACGAGCCCACAGCCTGTCAGAACACATGGTCCTTCTCTGCCACGGAACTGGCTGCAGCGAAGTGACTGACTCGTGGTCACACCCAGAGCTGGCTATGGAAATTTACCCTGTCAGGATCTAAGCCATGGGAAAGGCTTCAAAATGTCCTGAAATTTATTTTGGCACAGCTCATAGAATGAAAGAATTTCCAATACTCATCTCTGTCCTGCCAGCTGATGAGGGGGAAAAGAAAGGGATTTCTCAGAGACATGGGTGTGCTAATCTTTGAGTTCACAAACTGGCCACAGCCCAGTTGGCTACCCCTCAGCCATATACTTCACCAACCCCCCAACCTCCCAGATAGGGTAACTATTTAAAGGCAGTTGGAATTCAGGAAAATAAGACAGTCACTTGGCAGGATCAACTACAGCGTCCTCTGAGAGGTAAATACCCAGACATTAATGCCCAGTCAAGTATTAGAATTTCTGCTATGTGCTGGCTTTCAGACTTACTCTGTTATGCATTTCTGTGGATGCATGTGTATGTGACCTACATGTGCACTGTATGACTGCACCATTTGGTATGTACAAGAAAGTGTGAGCATGCAAATATGCTAGTGGGTTTGTGAGGGCAGTGCTTGTGAGCTTTATGAATACAGGGATGTGTGAGGCAGTGGGGAGCTAAAGAGCATATGCCCAGAGGCATCCATGTGAGAGAATGGGGGGTCTATATCTATGTGTGTGCGTGTGTGTGTGTGCACTTGCATATGGCATAGGGTCAGAAAAGCTTGCAAAGAGAGGGTGCTGCCTTATTTCAGGAGCAAAATATTAGGGATAAGACTCCATTGATGAAATTCCCAGGACTTCTATGCTGTGTAGTGACACGCAAAAAATGTCTAAAGGGGGAGAGGGGGACATGTCCTCTGATCTCAGTTTTGTGGGATAAACTTACTTCCACCCTCCTAGGAATTCTTGGGCTGATGAACGGCAAGGGAAGCTATATCAGGTGACATCTCCAGGGATCTGAGGCCTCCATATGTGTGATACCATTCCACAGAACTGGGAAGGGTCAGGAGGAGGCGTGCTTGTGTGTGTGGTTTGTGGCCAGTCAATCTATATGTCCTAATGTGTGACAGAGGTGCTCTGGCTAGATATGGGCTGGATGAAAGGCATAGTTATGTGTTCCAGGGTGCAGTGGGGCAGCAGGATAGGCTCCAGAGCCGAAGCTGGGAATAACTGGGAGAGGATCCAGGCCAGCGAGTGTGCACCTGTGCTTCGCAGAGCTCTCAGTATGAAGCCCCTCCTCCTGCTGCTGGTGGTGGTCATGGCCTCAGGTAAGAACAGACCCTGATCTCTGAGCACAAGGGGAGCCTCCCAGTGGGGTAAGCACCTGACCTCAGTTTTCCTTCCCACTGGAGCAGTCTTCTCTCAGTGGGCAGAGCAGAGAAGACATTTGTGGGGAAGGAGAAAGGCAAAGAAGAGGGCCCCACATTCATCTACAGATTATTTTCTTCTAGATTTGCTTCAGGTCGAAGGACATTTGACACAATTCACAGCAATGATCATGCTCAAGACAGGAAAGAACGCACTTACAAGTTATGGTGCCTACGGTTGTCACTGTGGCATTGGTGGCAGAGGAACCCCCAAGGATGCAACAGATCGGTGAGGCCAGCTTTTTTGCCCTCTGCTCATTTCTGGCCCTGGCAGGGTTGGAAGTGGTAGAGCTAATGCCCAGTGGCTCAAAGGTCCCAGGCGGTCCCTGCTGGAAAAGCAACCAGCATGTTGAGAACTCTGCTCTAGACTATTCCGAGTCATTGAGTCTCTCTCTGTCCGGAGTCGCGGGAGAGGGGAGGATGGGGCATCAGGACCCTTAAAGCTGTGAGAAGGCAGCTCCAACAGGATGGCCTTCTACCAGGTGCTGTGTCAAGCATGACTGTTGCTACGACCGTCTGATGAAACGTGGATGTGGCACAAAATTTCTGAACTACAAGTTTACCAGAAGGGGGAGCTCAATCACCTGCAACGGTAAGAAGGAGACTTGTGACACCATCCTGTTTCCTTCCTGCACATACTGAGTGTCCCCCCCTGCCAGACCCTGTGCCGGGCACCAGCGATAGAGCCACAAAGGAACACCGTCCCTGTCTCAAGAAGCTCGGGGCTGAGTGGGAGGCAAAGAAATTGAGAGCACCGGGTGGGCAAGGCTGCAGTAGGAAGCAAAAGACAGAACCTTAATACATCTTAATATACCTTAGGCTCAAGGAAGCTCCTCAAAGTGGTGACATCTGTGCTGAGTCCCAGAGGCTGCGCAGAGAGGCAGGGAACAGAAGCTTGGCGCGTTCCCAGAGGAAGACATGAGGGGATGGCAGACTGTACTGTGCTGCTAGGGGAAGTGTGAGGACCCGGGGGACGGTGAGACAAGGAGCAAGCCTGACCTTCCAAGCCGGGCATCTGTAGGTTTTGTCCAACAGCAGCAGGAGCTATTTAGCAAAGGAGTGACAGGAGTAGACGTGCAGCTCAGAGGACTCCTTCTGTCTCAGGGAGGTGGGGACATGCTGGAAGAGAGATGGGTCAGCAAGCTGTCACCAACACGCAGACAAGGGAGAGCGACCATGTGGAATAGAGCACCGGGGTCAGGAGGGAGCGGGTGTGCTGCAAGCCAGATGCACTGGAGGACGATCCATCGAGCTTGGTGAGGGCTCGGGAGGGGTGATGAGGAGCTCCTGGGGGGATACGTGACTGGGCGGATGGGACAACTGAGGTGGAGATCACAGGAGGAGGTGGGGGTGTGTGGGGGAAGGAGCGGCTCTGACTGGACCACAGGGGGATTCATGGGGCCCCAGATGCCCCGGGAGCTACACAGCAGGCGGCTGGATGTGGGACCTTGCAGTTCAGGGAGGATCTGGCCTGAGCCACACTCAGAAGCCACACTCAGCAACAGGGAGCTCGAGTGAGGCGCTCACCCAGGTTTGATTCAAGGCCGGGGAGAGAGAGCAGAAGGTTGGACAGAGCACAGGGAAGAGGACCAAGTGAGACGTCAAGGGGCCACTGAGGATGAGCAATGGCCATTAACCAGAGGCCACTGAGGATGAGCAATGGCCAGTTAACCAGTCCCCATAAGGGCTCCTTTGCTTGAGGGACAGGAAGGCCCCTGAGGACTTCAGAGACAGGTGTTCCCATGCAGGGTGAGGCATAGCCAGATTAGGGCGGGTCAGGCAGTCAGTAGGAAGTAGAGGTCATGAGCGCAGACAACTGTATGGGGAAAGTCTGACTGCAGAGGAGGAGGGAGACTGGTGGTCATTGAAATGAAGTGAAGTCTCACCGTCCCCAGACAGCGGATCCATGGGTGGGACTCAGAGAGGGCTCGAACACCGGCCACAGCCTGAGTTGCTGAAGATCACAAATTACTTTTACCTCGTGTCCTCTCCTTGGGGGCCTGTGTCTGTACAGGTTTTAGGTCCCAGGCCACCTGATGCCCAGCTGGCAGTGGTTTGGCTAGTGGGGATATCCGATTCTCACATAATGAAAATTCTAAAAGAGGGCCATACCATGCCTGAGTAGCTTCTCTGCCATGTCTCAGCGCTATACTTCGGCTAGACCAAGGTGGCTGAATCTGCCCTTGTGTTGTCAAGACATACCTGTAGCTCCACACACATAGCAGGCTTTCTTACTATGCCACTGCCTTCTTGAAGGGAGGAAATCTATGCTTCTCAGAGCAGACTTCCCCCCATGGCTCATCCGCCAGCCTGGCTTTCACCAATCACCATCCACCGCTGGGCTCATGAAGCCGGTTTGGCCACCTTGACAGGTCTGTTAACAGAAGACGAGAGACAACTGCTGGGTATTTTTTTTGGTACGGGAATCGAACTCATGACCTTGTGCTTGCCAGGCAGGCACTATGCCACTGAGCTAAATCCCCAGCCCCTAGAGACAGCTGCTGGAAGATCTATAGCAGTGCTGGTGCTCGGTGCTCTGTGACCCGGTTGGCCAGGGGGCCAGTCCTGAGAGGGCAGAATCCTGCTCATCGGTTAGGATGATCTGGGGCAGGCAATTGTGTCAGAGCAGGAACATTCGGGCTATGGTTTCCACCCCCACCCCCAAGCCATAGAATAATAAAACACCCACCATTGATTATTCTTCTAATTTCAGCAAAGCAGAGCTTCTGTCAGAAACAGGTGTGTGAATGTGATAAAGCTGCTGCCTATTGTTTTGCTGCAAACCTGAAAAGCTATAAGAGAAGGTACCAGCTTTATAACAACGCATTCTGCCGTGGGAAGACTCCGAGTTGCTGAGAGGCCACCCGGTGCCGAATCTTCCGCTCTAACTCCTCGCCTTCCTCCGAGCAAATTCCCTGGCAATAAACCAAACAATTCTCTCCCCTCTGGGGACTAGGCGGGAGCCCTCTGTTCCCTCCCAGAAGGTGAGATCCGATTCCTTAGGCAGCTCTGATTGGCCTCTTCCCCTGCTGCCTGGGAACAGGACATTTTCCCACTCCCATCCACGGATTCCTTCCAAGCTCAACTTCCGATTTAGCATTAGTAGCTACACAGCTACTCCGGGGGGTGGAGGGGGTGGGGAAGGGCTCTTTTCTGAATAAAGCAGTTCATCCACAGATATCATATATGTGTCTATTTGTGTGTGTGTGTATGTGTGTGCAAGCCCACAAGCTCACACACAATCATGCTTTGTGTACACAGTGAACTAGTTCAAACTCCAGGCTCTGAATGCAGGCTCTCTGGAACTGGAAGGGGTGGGTGGGGGACTGGAGGATCTATAGCAATCCTGGTGCTGGGCGCTCTGTGACCTAGTTGGCCAAGGGGTCAGCCCTGAGAGGGCAGAATCCTGTTCATTGGCTAGGGCAACCTGAAAGCTTCCAGTTTCCCCCTCCACCTCACAGCCCTAAGCCTTGGTTTTCTCACCCAAATAGAAATAACACTCATGGCTCCTTTTTAAGAATTAAAAGGGACGCAAGGGTAAAGCACTGGGTCTGACCTGTCTTCAGCTGCCTGTCCTATTATGGGTGAGACTCAGGCATCCCTCTCCCTTTCCTGGGCTTATTGGGGAATGAAAGAGTTGCTTAAATCAGAGTGGAATCACATTTACCAGGCCCTTGCCGAATTAACTAAAGGAAGCAGAGAGGTGTGAAGAAGGGGCTCTGGTGATTGTGTCCCTGATACAAGGGTCACTTATAGAGGACCCCAGCAGAACCACGACCCTGCACAAAGGACCGCACACACATAGCAGGCTTTCTTAAGATAAACTAAAATCCTGGGTATCTTTGCCAAGGCAACACACTGTGCCCAAACTCTTAAAAGTTCTTGATGGAGATTAGAGGATTTTCTTTTGTCCTTGAGAGACTGATAAAACCAAATGGGATTCCAAAATTGTAAAGCATGCAAAGAAGGTTCTGCTCCAAGAACTACACACAGTGACACTGTGGTCTATTTTCATGCATTTTCTTTCTTCTTTTTTTTAACATCAAGAAAGAAATACTCTTAACATGCAATTATAAAGTTAACATGTAAAGTCCTTTTAACTCTGTGTATTGTTTCTCTCTGCCTATCTTGAATCTAATTTTTTCACTTACATTAAGATAAAAACAAACAAAACAAGAAAAAAACTCACTTAAAAGTTTTTCTCATGGCATTTCAGCCTCTAGAGGAAAAGATAAATATTTTCCAAATAGTGGCTTTGCAATTTACAACTCCATGGCAACCTAGACACCTAACAGCTATCCTTCTTGGAGAAGAAAATTTGGTTTAAGTGGCTTTAATTGCTTAAAGTGTTGAAATCATTCTGCCTTTGTAAAACCACATTTATGTCTTATTCAAAGCCTTGAGCAATGAAAAGAGATTTCCACCTGGCATAAATATTATTTCATTTGCTACATAGACCAGGGAAAAAAACAAGGAAAAACTACAAACAACCTTTTACAAATGATTTCTAAAAATGTGCCCAACCCAAGTTGATTAGTCAACCAAACCAGCCAGTAAAAGAAAGATAACTTCATTATTAAAATCAAGCTTGTTCATAGATTTTTCAAAAAATTCTAGCCAGTCCTACCTAAAATGTCAATATCTAAGAGTTAACTCCTATACTCATCCAAGACTGAGGAAAAGGAGGAAACAGCGAGGGAAATATCCCCAATGCATCATTCTGTTAAAAAAAAAAAAATTGGTTAGCTCTTTTTATTATATGTAGTCTTTTGCTTTAACCCAACCACAGGATATTAAAAGATACAATTACTGTAGATCATTGCCTCTGTATGAAAATGTGTCATTGCTAATAGCAAATGCTTCACCTGGATAAATCCCGATTCTGACATCAGATATATCAACCAAACTAAAAGTAAGAGATTCTAAACAGAATAGTAATGAGGGGGGTGGGTGGCTGAACTTTACAAGGTCCGATTACTATTTAGGTTGACAAGGGAAACGGAAATGTTAGTCTTGTAGATTAAAACAGTTATAATTGCCATCATCTGCATGGGATTTGTTGCCAGTCTGGTGGAGGGGAAAGGTATGCCAATGTAATGTGGGCCAGCAGTTGGACATTATCTCCTGACCGGGGCCACTTCCCAGGGATGGGGTGCATGCAGTTCTGCAGGCCCCTGTGGCACCATGTCTATGCTCTGCTGCAGCCACTGAAATTCTTGCTAATCTTTACACAAAGGATCTGTTGCATTCATTTTTCACTTTCGTGCTACCTAAGTGGTATAGCTGGAGTGAGGCTAGGATCACATTACTGCTCCATGATGATTCTTAACTTTAGAGAGAGGTACTGAAATGCCTCTTCATTTGAAATGAAGCCTTAGTTGAATGCTTACCAGACACTTCTTTTTTTGTGTGCCTTGATCTATCAGAAGGAAAAGGCAGAGAGTAACTTATTTTCCCCTGCCCCATCTTTCTCCAGGAAAGACTTTGTACCTTTGAACTAAAGTTCTTCCAAGAACATTTCAGCCTAATTCTTTGTGTGCAAAATTCCTGAGAGCATCTCATTTACAACTTCACATTGAATGACAAGTCAGAAGGATATAACGTTCTAGTTTGTTTCATTTTGTACTGAGAATCATCTGTTTATTTCTTCTTACATCCAGTATTGCTAACAAAAGTTCTGCTATTAATCTGACACTTAAATATGAATGATTGCCAGCATTTTCTCTGTGTTCATTTCCATCCAGGAGCACAGAATGCCCCCCTTTGTTTTAAATCTCCTTTTCTACTTTCACTACAATGTGCCTAATTGGTTATTTTTTCTTTTTAAATAAAAAAATCTGTCTCGTTTGTAGAGGTCCTTTCAACTTGGCTTAATTGTAGGAATTTTAAAATCTTATTTCTTTTACTACTTTGTCTCCTTCATTTTCCCTCTCTTTCTTAAGAGCTCTACCTGAGGGTGTTGGAGCATCTATTTGCCATATCTCTGGAAATTTCTCTTCTTTTTTCTTTATTTTCTATTTCTCTTTTGCCTGGATGATTTCATAATCTAAGCTTCTAACTCTGTGTCACACATTCTTCAGCTGGCTATCTCATTTCAGTGACTGCATTTTTCATCACTAACAACTACATTCAGGCTTTTTAAAAGAATTATTTCTTGTTCTTGCCTGGTATTAGCAACATCTCTTATGTGGAAATTCTATGTCAGATGTTCTGTATTGTCAATTTCCTGTTTCCTAATAGGTGTGATCCATGTGCCTCAAAGTGAATTTAGGATTGTCTTGGTTACTTTTCTCTCATTGCTGAGACAAAATACCTGATGCATAGAATTAAGGAAGGAAAGGTTTATTTAGCTTACAGTTTGTGGAAGTTTCAGTCCACACTTGGCTGGCTCCAAGGCAGAGTGACACATGGCAGAGGGCAACAGTTCATGACAGTGGAAAAACAGCCAAGTCAACAAGAGCAAAAGGAAACAGTGGCAAGCAGCCTCTTTCCCTTCCTTACATTGTATGCAAACTATCTGCCCCAAGGTGGGTGTAGCACTCACATCCATAATTCCAACATTGGACCATGAATCAATCATAAACTCTAGAAACCCGCCACATGACTGCATGAGGCTTTGGGGGTCACCCAGACGCAAACCATAACAAAGAGATGATGAGCCCTAGGGTTGACCCGTAGGTGCTCTGACCAGGGCTTCCTCATTAGACCCACGCAGAGAGTAGCACCAGCAGGAAGTCGCTCCTAAGTGATAACCAGCCACCCCTGGGATGTGGAGAAGAGGCTGCGAAGGATGAGAGAAGGAATGAAGACTTGAGGGTAACCGAGTAACTTGCATCTGTTCTCAACAATTTCTTGTTTAAGGAATGCTCTTGGGCAACCTCATAGCATTTCTATTTGTTTTTATTGTTGTTTTGCTGTTGTTTTTTTTCCAGTACCAGGAATCGAACCTGCAACCTTGCACTTGCCAGACAGGCACTGTGCTGCTTCACAGCATTTCTAGAACTTGAACAACTCAGCTGCTTCTGGGATGAAGGAGTAAAGTGACAGGAAGAGCTCTACTTAAAATACTATCTCAGTAGGTAAAATAAGCCAGACAGAGAAAGTTACATATTGCTTGATTTCTCTTATATGAGAAATCTTTTTAAAAAATAAGGAAAGATGGCAGAAAAGTAAAAAAAAAGTAGATGAGAAAGGGGGTTGGGGACACTGAGTAAGGGAGAAGAGACCAACTGGTCCCCTCTCTTTTGATAATTTTGATAACCATAAAAATACATGGGCCAGGGATATAGCTCAGCGGCACAAGTGCCTGCCTGGCAAGCACAAGGTCCTGAGTTTGATTCCTGGTACCAAAAAAAAAAAAACCAAAAAAAATTACATGTATGTACCAATATACCAAAATGAATATCATTATTCTGTATTGCTAATGAGCACTAATAATATAAAAATAAAAAAAGCTTTCTCCTAACCTACGCATAGTTTGTCTAAACTGCCTGTCCTGTGCTCAGGAGCAAAGTCAACTCCTCTCGCCCACAAATATAGCCCGCAGCCAGCATTGCTTCCTACTTCCTACAAGGCTCTGCATAAGTTCTTTTGTTATTTCTTCACATCTGAGCTGCTCTCTCAGCTCCATCATTCTGTCAGATTGGTTTTGGCAAAGGAAGCCAGCAAGCTATGTTCATTTGCAATCTTGGCAGAAACACAGTGAAATGTACAGTGCAATATCTTGTGCATAATTTGAAAGCACACAGAGTTCTGAAAACAGTGTTTTTCAAAGAACCATAAATCTAAATAAACACATCAAAGATGAATTGATAATGGAGAGGAAGAATAAAGAGGGGAATGAATAAATAAAATAAAGCCTTTGTCTTCTGCAATCCAATGAAAATAATGTGCTATCAAGGGAAACCATGCCCCATATAGATTAAGAATTGGTCAATCATAAATGCATGATTGCATGACAATTTGACCTGGCAATGCCATTTGTGGAAAATTACTTTATCCACACACACAGACACACACACATACACACACAATCATGCATGAGCAGGTGTGTCAGGGAGCCAGTGAGAATTCACACTCAGAGCTGTCTACATCTAAAATCTGGTCTTCGTACTGTTAGTATCGAGGGCATTAGTATTGAGGAAGGATGACTAGTCAAGCACCGAGATTTCCAGGCCC